TTTACATCTAACATGTAGATTATAGATGTACTATTCATATTCTACATCTTTTCCGCTAGGGGTTGCTCACGCACTGAACGCGGCAGAGTGTGCGAGCGAGAAGGAAAATGAGTTTCGTTGTCGTTTTGGGAGGGGGGGCAGGGGAAGCAACTGAAAATTAATTTCGCCATTCTGGCTATAATTATGATCCGATCTAATTCAGATTCAGCAGTCTGGTAGATATGGGCATTCTCTACGATACTGCGTTTTTAGTTTTATCGTATCTTTAAAATTGTGCCTGCCACAGATTTTCGTCCTTTGTGGGGGCGGAAGGGGGCGGGGCGAAATTCTGAAATACACTTGTAGCAGTGGGATATCACATGAGTCTGGAAACCAAATTTGGTTGCCCTAGCTCTTATAGTTTCTGAGATCTAGGCGCTCATCGAGACAGACAGACAGACAGACAGACAGACAGATAGACGGACAGACAGACATGGCTATATCGACTCGGCTATTGATGCTGATCAAGAATATATATACTTTATGGGGTCGGAAACGTTTCCTTCTCTGCGTTACACACATCCACTTTTACCACAAATCTAATATACCCCTTAACTCTTTTTTGAGTACGGGTATAAAAACGAACGTTATCATAAGAAAAACAAACCAACCTACATATGGGCTAATCCGAAAATTTGTAAACCAAAGGCAGAAATTTAAAGTTGTCCAAAATCCAAATGTTTGTTAATGGAATAATAGGATACATATTCAAGCTTCAAAAGATATGAGCAATATGGTTTTACGGTGGTTTGTTGATTATTGGCTGAGTATAACCTACACGTACCTCTTGCTTTCAAGTATTCTTGTAAAAAAAGGATATTTTCCATGGGAACCCGACTCTACTTATACCCGTACACAGTCAGTATATACATTTTTGAGCATATGATTTTTTAGAATTTTAGAATTAAAAAAAAGAATTTTACATTTTAAATTTGTTTGCTACATCTGCTATCTACATCTACATCTAAAATGTATATTCTACATCTAACATGTAGATTGTACATGTACCATTTAGATTCTACATCTCCTCCGCTAGGGGTTGCTAGCGCACTGAACGCGGCAGAGTGTGCGAGCGAGAAGGAAAATGAGTTGCGTTGTCGTCGGCAGGAGGGGGCAGGGGAAGCAACTGAAAATTAATTTCTTCATTCTGGCTATAATTATGATCCGATCTAATTCAGATTCGGCAATCTGGTAGATATGGGCATTCTCTACGATACTGCGCTTTTATACCCGTACTCAAAAAAGAGTTAAGGGGTATATTAGATTTGTGGTAAAAGTGGATGTGTGTAACGCAGAGAAGGAAACGTTTCAGACCCCATAAAGTATATATATTCTTGATAAGCATCAATAGCCGAGTCGATAGAGCCATGTCTGTCTGTCCGTCTTGTGTGACGCCTGGATCTAAGAGACTATAAAAGCTAGAGGAACCAAATTTTGTTTCCAGACTCATGTGATATACCACTGCTACAAGTGTATTTCAAAATTTCGCCCCGCCCCCTTCCGCCCACTAAAGGACGAAAATCTGTGGCATCCACAATTTTAAAGATACGATAAAACTAAAAACGCAGAGACTGCCGAATCTGAATCAGATCGGATTATAATTATAGCCAGAATGAAGAAATTAATTTTCAGTTGCTTCCCCTGCCCCCTCCCGCAAACGAAAACGCAACTCATATTCCTTCTCGCTCGCACACTCTGCCGCGTTCAGTGCGCGAGCAACCCCTCGAGGCGGAGATGTAGAATCTAAATGGAACATGTACATTGTACAATCTACATGTTAGATGTAGAATATACATTGTAGAAGTAGATGTAGATATCAGATGTAGCAATAAAACGTAAAAATATTTTTTTTTTCTAAAATTCTAAAAAATCATAAGATCAAAAATGTATATACTGACTGAGTACGGGTATAAGTAGAGTCGCGTCCCCAGAAGCGACTCACACGTTCCTTCTCGTTTTATTTTAATACAATGAATTTGAACAATTTTGTTTTCCAAACAAGCTTTATAAACAGAGTTTTTTATGCACTTTAATCTAATGAAAACAAAAAACCTTTATTACACATTATTTTGAAAAATACTAATGGCAAAGTGTGTAACGTCCGTAACGGCATGAACACTCAAAAATTGTATTTTAATATTATTAGGTGAAAGTAGGTGTTTATAATGGATTTTCACCTGCTGAATAGGAATCTGGGCTTCAAATTCGTCTAGGTTGCCGAGAATCCGAAAAACGTAACCTCACAGTAACAAAAAAAGTGTGTTTATTTTAAAGTAAGATTAAAAGAACGGGCCAAGAACTACATTTCGTAAAAATTTCATGAAAATATACCAATGTGAACGCCAGCTGTGTCAATTTGAACAAGTAAATTTGCGTACTAATGTAACGTCCGTAACGCAGGATTAGCCCATATGTAACCTTTAATTAATGTCATATTAAAAATTAATTTAGCTCTTAGTTTCATACCAAACTAATGTGACACTATTGCGTAGTGCTCTTATTACACTAGTCAACACGACAATTAGGCTGTGGCCCAAAATGACTTTTTCATATAGATTTCGGAGTTTACTAATTTTTAACGAATTATGGTTTTTTTATGGTTTAGTTTATTTTTAAAGAATTTTAAAAAATCTTTTAATGTTTTTTTTTCAGAGGTAGTGCTTTTATTTTTCACATAACTTAAGTATCTTATATCTGGTTGCATAGAACATGAAAAGCTGACAAACGCAGCTATAAATCGGACCCAGACACTTTGTAGCTGTAGCTTTCCAGCTAACGTCTGGAAAATATTAAGCTTTCAAATTCAAATTTCATAATTTTTTTGCGGTATTGTTTCACGAAATTTTGACTTTAAAAACTCGGGAAAAGTTTTCGATAGACGCATTAATTAGGCGTCGTTTAAGGTATTGTTCATTAAAATCTATGGATAAACGGTCAACTTGCAGCCGTTTGACCAAAACGACTCAAAGCTTACACGTTCAGGTACGAAAAATTCAACCCCTTTTCGTTTGCTTTGTTTCCTATTGGCAGTTGGGCTCGCAACCTTCTAGAGTTGGGTTTATCATGAGTGAGTGAACAAAAATGAGCAAATTAAAATTTGAATTTGAAAGCTCAATATCTTCCAGGCGTTAAGCTGCAGATACAAAGTGTTTGGGTCCGATTTATAGCTGTATTTGTCAGCTTTTCGGAACTGCAAAGTTCTATGCAACCAGATATAAGATACTTAAGTTATGTGAAAAATAGAAGCACTACCTCTGAAAAAAACAATGAAAAAATTAACAGATTTTAAAAATTCTTTAAAAAAAAATTACACCATAAAGGTTTGTCTCCAGCACCGCAAAAAATTGCGGCAAGGAATTTGCTAGTTATTCCGTGAGGTTGTGGAACATAGCTAAAACAGGGTTGATGAATCAGCTGTGTTTTGTAAACAGAGGCAACTGTAAAATTCTGCTAAATTTAAAAAAGAAAAAAAATGGACTCTGATGATGAAGTGATTGTGTTGGTGGCGGCATATATTGTTGCAATACAAAAAAGAATAATTTTCATCTTTTTTTTATACCCGTACTCAAAAAAGAGTTAAGGGGTATATTAGATTTGTGGTAAAAGTGGATGTGTGTAACGCAGAGAAGGAAACGTTTCCGACCCCATAAAGTATATATATTCTTGATCAGCATCAATAGCCGAGTCGATATAGCTATGTCTGTCTGTCCGTCTGTCTGTCTGTCTGTCTGTCTGTCTGTCTGTCTGTCTGTCTCGATGAGCGCCTAGATCTGAGAGACTATAAGAGCTAGCGAAACCAAATTTGGTTTCCAGACTTATGTGATATCACACTGCTACAAGTGTATTTCAGAATTTCGCCCCGCCCCCTTCCGCCCACACAAAGAACGAAAATCTGTGGCAGGCACATTTTTAAAGATACGATAAAACTAAAAACGCAGTATCGTATGGAATGCCCATATCTACGAGATTGCCGAATCTGAATTAGATCGGATTATAATTATAGCCGGAATGAAGAAATTAATTTTCAGTTGCTTCCCCTCCCCCTCCCGCCGACGACAACGCAACTCATTTTCCTTCTCGCTCGCACACTCTGCCGCGTTCAGTGCGCGAGCAACCCTTAGCGGAGGAGATGTAGAATCTAAATGGTACATGTATAATCTCCATGTTAGATGTAGAATAAACATAATATATGTAGATGTAGATAACAGATGTAGCAAAATGTAAAATGTAAAATTTTTTTTTTTAATTCTAAAATTCTAAAAAATCATAAGCTCAAAAATGTATGTACTGACTGAGTACGGGTATAAGTAGAGTCGCGTCCCCAGAAGCGACTCGCACGTTCCTTCTCGTCTTTTTTTTTGGTTTTGCGGACAGTTTTTGCCTACATCTTGCACCATTCACTTCAGGAATAATGGTTGAACATATATTCCTGAGCTGGGTGTCAGCCCACATCTCAGTCCACATACGGTCCCGATAGGCAACTATCGATATAAATCTGGGGATTCCGCTCGTGCTGCTGGATACATACTCCAGGAAAACGTAAGCGAAAAATTCCTGGAACAGTTTTTTTTATATGGAGTTTGACAGGAATTTTTCGATTCCGCGGTGCTGGATACTATGCTTAATAAAAAATAAAGTACTAAAAAAATTTGTAAATCTATCAGAAAAAGTCATTTTGGTCCACAGCCTAAAGAAAAAGTTCAATTTTGTTGAGTAGTGTTATAAGCCCCTTGCTTGTAGCACTAGGAAATACAATAAACAAACAATACGACCGAAGCTACCGAATCCGGACTTTGAACCCAAAAATTATCATATTGAGAATACCATTAAACACCACCAAAATTGGGCTCAGATATATATTCTAATAAATATAATACATATACATATATACAATGCATCCAGATGTGAAACAGATCAAGCCAAAAGGTGATGATTTCAAACAGATTTAGTTGGAATATTACCTGAAAATAATGGAATTTACCGAGCATTTTCCACATTTTAAAGATTTAAGCTTCCACATATTTAAATTACGTATCATATTTAGATTTGACTTCGCACTGTGCTAGTAATGTAAGGGGCTGCAAGCTTTCGATGACCAACATGTTGGGTATTCGTGAAATGGATTTAACCTTATGGCCATATGACATTAGACTTTGTTACTGACTAGCTGGAAGAATAGAGATAGCCTTATGGGAAATGCCTGCAGTCAGAGTGAGAGAAGTATATGCGTCAAACTGGCTGTCCAGTTGAGCTGGGAGCAGCGCTGCAGCAGAATTAGTCGATTGCGGCTATTATTTTGCTGGCTGGGTGGCTCTGTTTTCCTGGAAAACATCTTTTTGTTACTCGACTGAAAGCCATTAGACGTGTCTCGAGACGACTACGAACAATAATTTTCCATATTGTCTCTCGTGCTATCCCTCTCTACGCAGCAAAATTGGCTAAGTCTGATGTCATAACACTACGACAGGATCCAAAAGTCTATGGCTCTAGGAGCTGTCAGCTTCTGGTCGGACCATGTCTTGAGGAAGCGCAGCAACATATGTACATATGCGGGTAAACCGGTTCTAACACACAACGTTACTTATTTCTATGTCGCTGCGGCAGCCGAGCAATTGTGCCTAGACCACACGAAGTTGGTTCTCTTTCGCAGCCGATCCACACGAAGCGTTTACGCTGTACGTGTGCCGACTGCACTGCCAGAGATTTTTACGGATGCCCAGTGCATACGAAATAATATTGTTAAGTATTAGTCTTCGGATATTTCATTTTTACTAAAATGGTTACTTGTTATTACTAATCACCGAGATAGGGATGCAACTCGTCTGTGCACACCAACATACATATGTACATAACAGTTTTTAATTACACTAGGCCAAAAAATCGAACATATTTTGTATTCAGTCCAGAACGGTTACACTATTTTGTGTTTGTGTACAAATACAATCAGTTCAAAATTAAAAATTTTGTATTAAAGCAAGCAGAAATGTCTTATTTGTGCGCGCTGTTGAGTTGGAGGTCGACAATGCACACTGCAATATTGTTATTGGACAGTTATATTGGACAGAAATGCAATCAACATTTTTTCTATCTCCTAATAAATTAATAATATGAGTACAGGGTATAATATTAATAAATAATAATTTCCATATAACCAGTATTCATTCGAATGATTCGAATTTTGCATGCTGGCTCTAGAGCTGGCTCCAGGCTCTCTTGAAATTTTTTAGAGATAGAGAGCGCTCTAGAGCCAGCCGCTCTCTTGTATGCATACAGCATACGAAGGCACACGAAGTTGGTTCTTTGCCGATGCGACAGCCGAGCCGAGTCGTCGCGCCGACTGTATGTGTGCACATGCATACGTTTTTTACAGCGCTGTCGAAATATACCCTTCACTTTATAAGTGTAAGTTAATTTTGCAAGACGCTTAACACCCCAATATTAAACGAGAATGAACGTGCGAATCGCTTCTGGAGACGCGACTTTACATATACCCGTACTCAGTCAGTATATACATTTTTGAGCATATGATTTTTTAGAATTTAAGAATTAAAAAAAATATTTTACAATTTACATTTTTTTTGCTACATCTGTTATCTACATCTACATATATTATGTATATTCTACATCTAACATGTAGATTATACATGTACCATTTAGATTCTACATCTCCTCCGCTAGGGGTCCTCCGCGCACTGAACGCGGCAGAGTGTGCGAGCGAAAAGGAAAATGAGTAGCGTGGTCGTTGGCTAGAGGGGGCAGAGGAAGCAACTGAAAATTAATTTCGTCATTCTGGCTATAATTATGATCCGATCTAATTCAGATTCGGCAATCTGGTAGATATGGGTATTCTCTACGATACTGCGTTTTTAGTTTTATCCTATCTTAAAAAATGTGCCTGTCACAGATTTTCGTTCTTTGTGTTGATGGAAGGGGGCGGGGCGAAATTTTGAAATGTGTGATATCACATGAGTCTGGAAACCAAATTTGGTTTTCCTAGCTCTTATAGCCTCCGAGATCTAGGCGCTCATCAAGACAGACAGACGTATAGACAGACATGGCTATATCGACTCGGCTATTGATCCTGATCAAGAATGTATATACTTTATGGGGTCGGAAACGTTTCCTTCTCTGCGTTACACACATCCACTTTTACCACAAATCTGATATACCCCTTAACTCTTTTTTGAGTACGGGTATAAAAATACCTTTGCCATTAAAAATTAGCTAGAAAAGGCTCCAAGGGGCCAAACGTTAAGGTCACTCTGGTGCCTTATCCACCAGGTTTGTCATAAGTCGGCTGCCCCAGGTGGCAAAGGCACACACCTGCAGTTGGTCAAACCGCACAAGCCCGAGTCAATGGCGTGTGCGTGGCATTCTGAATGTGGCGCGTTCCACTGGCGAGGAAAGATTTCGTCGATGTTTAGCTAAATTAAGCGCATGACTTTCTGGTGCTTTATACCCGTACTCGGGTATATTAAGGGGTATATTCGAAGTGGATGTGTATGACGCGGAAAAGGAAACATTTTCGACCCCATAAAGTATATATATTCTTGATCAGCATCAATAGCCAAGTTGATATAGCCATGTCTGTCTGTCCCTCCTGATGAGTGCCTAGATAGCCTATAAAAGCTAGAGCAACCAAATGTTGTCTGCAGACTCATGTGATATCACACTATATTTCAAAATTTGTCCCGCCCCTTTCCCCGCAAACAAAGGATGAATGTCTGTGGCAGACACAATTTTAAAGATACGAGAAAACCAAAAACGCAGTATCGTAGAGAATGATATCTATCAGATTGCCCAATCTGCGTTAGATCGGATCATTTTTATAGCCAGAATGTAGCTATTCATTTGCTGCGGCTACCCCACCCCCTTCTAGCGCTGCAGCCGCTTCTCAATCTCGTTCTCTCTCACACACGGATAGGTAAACACGATCACGCTTTAGAGGAAAACATCATACCGTCTAATGACCGTCTTTCCGCAAGCCCTCATATTCTAGGACGATTCTGCTCATTGGTCAAGAATATTTTTTATAACTTTGTTATTCAATTGTGTTATGATTTATTCAAAAAGTTCGCTTTTGTAGACGGTGAGTTCTTTTAGGTAAAATAATATTTAGCAACGGTGGGAATTAGGACATTGGACTGGCCGGGAAATGGTCCTGATCTCAATCCGATCAAGAACTTTTAGCACATCATAAACGTTTTTATATGAAAGCGCACAAAATTGTATCTGAATTCAAAAAATAATAATAATAATAATCTAGTAGATATCAAGCTTTCTAAAACACACTGGCTTTTAAAAAAATATTACTCTAGTTCATATATACTCATATACTCATTCATATACTCTGCAATATACATAGAATCAAACGTTATACAATAATAGTTTTATTTCCTGAGTAGAGTAGAGTAAATTTGTCTGTACAAATATAAGAGTGAATGCAAAAGTTTAAATTTATTGATTTAAGGATTTTTTTGAAAACAATGACATTGGGGCTTAAACATTTTTTTCCGTATTTCGCTGGCATTTTATATTGTTAGCTTAATTTAACAATCTTTCTTTCTTTGTTTTCCATTACTGTATATTTTGTTACACGAGAACACACTCATCTGCAGTACTGGGGTTGGTTTCGCTCGGCTAGCTTTACGCCATAAGCCGAAAGTGACGACAGCGAGTCGAGTGACGAAAACACCCAAGCCGAAGACTCTGGGTGTTCTCGACACTGGCACATCTATATACTGTATGGTTTACAGATTTTGACTCTCTAGAGATTTCATTTTTCATCCGCAAAGGACAAACTTGTTTTCACTGAAAAATGTGTGAAAATTAATGCACAATATTATTTGGACGAAGTTCAGCCTCCACAATGTTTGGCAAATAATCATATTGCCTCCAACAAACTCTGCTCCTACTCACAAAGCAAAAATTGTTCAGAAGCGATGCAAGGAGAAAATACCATGTTTTTATCCTGTGGAGGAATGGCCTCCAACTTCTCCGGATCTGTTGTTCGGAGCAGCCGCTGGCAAGAAGCTCTTTGCCCTAGCTTTCGCTCTTAAAACTCATGCACGCTCGCTCTTATCAGCAAACGCTCGCTTACTAATCGTAGATCATGCTTTGCGATCTGAGCAGAGACCGAATGCTCTTGAGAGCGGGAGAGTCGAAAACTTGAGAGCAAACGGAACGGATTAGTATTGTCGAACGAATCTTGCATAATATTATATGTTCAATAATTATTCGCCACGAACACATGGCTTGAATTTGTCGCGATCGTAATTGTCGGAGAATAAAGCCAAGTTTTTAAGATTAACGAATTCGCGTTCTCACTGATTTGTGGAATATATTCAAGCAGTCGGAAAAGCCCGACGGCTGGGGACAAATGCTGGAAAGATTAAATGATCTAAGCAACATGGAAACATGGAAAAATTTAATTTAAAATTGGTGAAAATTTGGGACGAAGTACGCGATGACCTATGCCATTTCCAACTCGTTTAAGGCTGGTAGATGTATTAAAAGGGGAGAGACTCGAACTCAATAACTAATAACTAAACAAAATAATCCAAAAAATATATAAAACGAGAAGGAACGTGTGAGTCGCTTCTGGGGACGCGACTCTACTTATACCAGTACTCAGTCAGTATATACATATTTGAGCTTATGATTTTTTTGAATTTTAGAATTTAAAAAAAAAATTCATTTTTGCTACATTTGTTATCTACATCTACAATGTATATTCTACATGTAACATGTAGATTGTACATGTACCGTTTAGATTCTACATCTCCTCCGCTAGGGGTTGCTCGCGAACTGAACGAGGCAGAGTGTGCGAGCGAGAAAGAGACTCAGTAGCGTCAGCAGCGCTGGAGAAGGAGGGGGAACCAGCAGAAAACCAAATTTGGTTGCCCTAGCTTTCTCCCGCAGTCTAACCAAGGGCCCAGCAAGGACAGACAGACAGACGGACAGACAGACAGATAGACGGACAGACAGACATGGCTATATCGACTCGGCTATTGATGCTGATCAAGAATATATATACTTTATGGGGTCGGAAACGTTTCCTTTGCGTTGCA